TATATATATATATATATATATATATATATATATATATGATTACAAATAAACTTTCTTGTAGAAAGGATACATACAAAGAGAAGAAGAGAAAAGGAGAAAGAGTCTCAAAGATTAGAAAAAGAAAAAAATACACTAATTCATGGTTGTATTTTACATGTGAGGACTTGATAAATGTAATTATTGTTGGTGTACTCTTCTTTACGTTTTATATAATTTTATTGTTGGTACATTCTCATTCTTTTCTCTCTTTTTTTTGTGGCAAAATTTGGATATTTATATATATTCCACTATAAAACTTTTTTTTTATAAATATATATGGTTTAAATGTTCATGCTGACTGAAGAAAACAAACGCAAATCATGTAATTGTATGTTACAATATTCTTTCAAGTTAGACAAGTATTTAAATAGTTAAGACTCAGGAAGTAATTTAAGAAGAATTAGCTAAACAATTCGTTTTTGTTTAACTTTTTATACATAATAGGAAAAGGTATTCAGACACAACCCCACTAATTAAAAGGAAGAAATAATCATGTTACATGGAAGAATTCAAATGATAACTTTTCGTTAAGATTTACATTGGCATAAAAGCCGAATTACTAGTGTTACGGACCGGATATACCTATTCAAGCCCATTACCAAAACTGGGCCCAAAAATTATGAGTTGTCTTCATTCTTTTAGATGTTCTAAAAAGGCTTTTTGTTAAATACATCTTCACCTATTAATGATACACATGAATATTCTCTCTCTCTTTTAATTATTCAGTTCTCTAAATACTTTTTTTTCCAACTGAAATGGTATAAATAGTCTTCTAAAAATTACTTTCTAAAAATATATTTATGTTCTTCCAAAAGGTATGGTATATATGTTATATTTATGAAATATACTTTTTGGAGAAGTAAAAGTATACTTCCAAAAAATACTTTTTAAAAGAGTAAAAACATTTTCTAAGAAAGTAAAATAAAGGCTTAAATATGTTTTTAGTCCCTTAAATTTAAGGTAAATCTGTTTTTGGTCCCTCAAATTTAAAATTGTTATTTTTAGTCCCTATAATTTCAAAAAATCTTATTTTAGTCCTTATATTCAAATTTTGTAAAGAAATTTATCAAACATTATTGCATAAAATCTACCTATTGGTGTCTCTATTAGTGAAAATATCACATTTAATCCGATTGATATTGCATAATTATCTTAATTAATCACTTTCAAATATGTTATTGGTGACCTAAGGGACTAAAATAAGATTTTTAAAAATTACAGGGATTAAAAACAACAGTTTTAAATTTGAGGGACCAAAAACAAATTTATCTTAAATTTGAGGGACTAAAAACATATTTAAGCCTAAAATAAAATATACTTTCATAAACTATTTTTTGAAAAATTAATATATTTTTATCATTCAATAAATATGTTTATAAATATATTTTTTAAGAAATGTATTATTATTTTTTTATTATTAAAATTATCATGTCACATATGATCAAGTTGTTATCAAATTATTCGTAAATATATAATTTTACAAACTTGGCACCTAATATATTTAGTCTTCAATGTAAGTGAGTGGATATGTTAGAAATTTTACATTAATTAATAATATAACAAAAATATAATATACAAGTGAATTAATTATTTCTCATTTTATAAGGAGACGTAAATTCATTTTATTAATATTACTTTTCAAAAATGATCATAAACAATTTTTCCTTTTGCAATATCGTTTTTTCTTATTTTAAATTTTTCCGTTTTTTTATTGTTAATTATATTTTTTATAAAAAAAAATATTAAATATAACAGTGTAAAGTGTTTATTATTTTACTGAGTATTTCGATATATAATACTTTTTGAGTATTTTTTTAATGTAGTTTAATATTATTAAATTTCACCTAAATAAATTTTTATTTCTTTCAAAATATTACTCAACAAAATATTGACTTAAATATTTTAATATTTATAATTAAATTTAAATTTTCTTAATTAATATCATAAATATTATTTGCAAAACATCATTGAAATGATTGTTTAATTAGGATATTTTTGTTCTCCTATAGGAAATTCTTATCGTAACACATGTTTTGAAGCTTGTTATATTTAACTTTCGTACTAAAAGTTTCATAAAAGTTTTTTTTAATTATTATTATTATTATTAAAGAGTATCTTTTGTCTGCTTTGTTTGTGAGTTCAGCCATTATACTAATATTAAACAGGTGGACATACTCTTATAACTTGAATTTTTTGCATTTTTATAATTTGAATTCAAATCATTTTGTTAACCTGTATGTCAATTTAAGTTAATAACTTCACAAAAGTCCTTTAAGAAAAAACAACTAATCTCAAATTGAGCTTTCTTGATAGCGTAAAGAAAAAGGCTTACTTTACTTTTTTAAAAATAGTACAAAATAATATTAAATTAGCTCAACATTTTTCTAAAAACTTTTGTTTTTCTTTCTTTCTTTCTTTTTTAATGTGACCTCAATTAGTACATTGAAATTACGTGTCTTGATATTTTAATGCAATGTAAAAATAAGTATAGTTTTAACATGACAAATGTTAATGTGCCTATTTAAATAATTTAAAAAAAAAAGTGCTTTTGAGGGAAAGAATAGAAAAAAGAAAAAGTTTTTTTATAAGCTCAAACTAGCTTATCACAAACTAATTTATCATTTTATAGAAAAACTGCGAGAGAGATTCTACAAATTAACTTTTGAATAAACTAATTTTAACTTATGATGAAACACATTTAAATTTTTCTTCTATTTTTTCCTATAATAAATATTTTTGGAACAATTCATCTAGATAAATTTAATGTGGATAAATTTCTTTAAAAACACTTTTAGTGGAGAGAAAAAAAAGGAAAATTGAAATCAGTTTTTTTTTAAAGGTTAAACTACTCTATATATTATTTTTAAAAAATAGAAAAACTAATAAAAAAATAATATCAACAAATTAATTATGCATTAGCTAATTTTATAGTATTCTTCATAATTTCTTCTTTTGTAGATATTCATGGAGATATTTACCTATACAATCTCATACAATTTAAAACAAATAAAAAATAAAAAATCAATTTTCTTGACTTTAACACAAGACTTGAAGTCAATTTGAAAATATAATAAAAATGGTTTCAAAACTATTTTAACCAAACATGTTTTGTTTTAAAAATAAAATTTGAAAATGAAAAAAAAAAAAAACTCAACACCATCCACCTAAAATGTTACTTCTCTTGTTTCAAAATGACTTTAACTTTAACATTTGTAAAATATCAAAAAGGATTGATGTTTTTAATTTTTAATGTAATATTATTTTTTGAAGGGGATTTTTAACGTAATAATATTTTTTATTCTATTTTGTCTCTTCATAAAATTTTTAACCACCACAATTAAAAATATTATATTTCTTGTAGGATGATGCTATCTTAGAAAACTAATATAAAATTTATATATTTAGTATTCTTAAGTTGTGTGAAAAAAAATTAAATTGCAAACATTTTAAGATGAGATAGAATAAGTATTCGATAAGAATATTTTTTTACCAACTATTTTTATTTAAAAATCATAAAATGAGAGCATTAGAGAAAAAAAAATATTAAATATATAATTCCATAACAATGGTCAAAATATGTTATACTTTTTTTTTCTTTGAAAATATTTTTTAATAATGTAATATTTGTCAATTATATAAGGTTGAATAATTATTTCTTATGTTTGTCACTTGATATATATGGTTGAATAGCAACTTTTTATATTACCACTTAATATATTCAAAATGATTATAATTATATATTTATATTAATACTTGTTTGTAGAGACAATTTAATATTTTTTACAAAAATCAATCATTATAATCAAATATGAAAGAGATCTAAAATGTTTATTATGTTCAACTTTAGCATTTAAAAAATTGTTTAATATTTGATGAGATTTTTATAATAATAATAAAAAAAAATCTAAAATGATTATCATTAATATTTTTTATTAGTGTTTATTTTTTCGAAGCCTTTTAAAATTTTTGATAAGATAATTCTTAATAACCAAATAAAGAAGAGATCCAAAATGATTATTGATAAATTCTTTAATCATTATAATAACTAAATAGAAAAAACAACTTTATTCACTTATCACATATATTTATTATTAGTAAATATTTTGTAGAATCTTAAATATATAATATTATATAATATTGTATCATCGAGTTGGTTTATTAATTACTATAAAAGAAAAAAAAGTCATCATACCAAAACATAACATATCTTAATATTTAAGATTTAAAATTTAGGATTTAAGATTTTATAATATATATAAATTTATTTTATTTTATTTGTATAAACTCATTAATACTAAATAATAAAATTACATGTTCATCTTCAAGAAACTCAACGTGTGCAACACATAGTTTTGAAATCAAATATCAAATATATTGACTAAAGCAATAAAACGTACCTTTTACAAATTCAAAACAATAAATAAATAAACATATATAAGGAGAAGAGGTAGACCAAGCTTAATTGTTAATGGATCCAGTAATTAGTCTTTCTCAACCCTAAAGTTGTTTTTTTGTAGTCATGACAAGGTTGGAATCAACTATGGCCCGCTTGTGGAAAATAAAAAATTAAATATAATTTATTTATTTTTTATATAGAAAAAGTGTACTTATGATAATTGAAATTTCATGTTTGATTGGGCCAGTTGTTTTGTTTGAGACCACTCCGTTTGGGCCAGGCCCTACCACTAATTATTGAAGAGTTAGAGTTAGAGAGAGTAAGAAAAAGAAAAAACGAAATTAAAAATAGAATAAGAAAAGGCGCAAGAGTGTGTTGTTGGCGGTGTAGGGTTTAGTAGCCACCACCGTTTAACTATTACTTCTCTTTTCAGAAGCCGAAACGAAACCCTCTGCCTCTGCTTCTCTCTTCTTCTCTTCGCCGCGTTTCCACCACTCCTTCACGCCATGTCGGAAGCTTCGTTGATCCAAACGGAACTTCCGAATCCACCGGATCCTCCATCCACCGCCACTCCCTTGTCCAGAAAAATCGTCTTCATTCCCGTCAAGAAGCCCTTCAAGGGATTCTCCAATGACTTCAACATCGAAACCCTAAACCCCTCCTCCTCCGACCCTGCTTCCTCCGCCTCCGCCGCGACTAAGAAACACGACGCATCCGAATTCTCCGAGTACGGCTTGGATCCGGAGCTCAGCTTCGGAATTACCTTCCGGAGAATAGTGAGTGCAATTTCGCTGCCTACTCTCACGGAAAATTGGTTTACGCGTCATTAGGAATATTTGCTTTTGCTACGGACTTTTGTTTTTGATTGGTTCTTGATTCGTTCCGTTTTACCGTTAGGACTGTAACTGAAAATCTTAATTGTTGTTTTCAGGGAGCTGGGTTGCGGAATCTGGGAAACACGTGTTTTCTCAATTCAGTGATTCAGTGTTTGACGTATACAGAGCCACTAGCTGCGTATCTGCAAAGTGGGAAGCATAAAACGTCATGTGAGTGACTAAACGCGTTTTGTGTTACGCATGCGAATTATGTAGATGGAAATACTTTGTGTGTGGTTTACTTTTGTTTTGATGTACTTGGCCTTGGTGAATACATGCAGTTGAAGAGTGTTATGTTTTTGTAGGTTTTTTTAGTTGGAAATTATGCATATGTGTGAAGGGAATTGATATGTTGAATTTCTGATTGTATTTTTGCAATCAATGTAGGCCACGTTGCTGGATTTTGTGCTCTCTGTGCTATACAGAATCATGTTAGTCGTGCACTGCAATCAACTGGGAGAATATTATCCCCAGAGGATCTGGTTGGGAATCTACGTTGTATCCTTATGATTTGTGGTTGATTAATTAATGGACAATTATGGTTCATTTCTTCTATCTCGTTGATTTTGACATTTGATATAAATTAGGCTGTTGTTCTAAAATAATTTGCTTCATTTCCACATCTTGTCCTTTGTGCTTGTATTCCGTGAGCATGAGGAGAAAGGTTGTCATGGAAGATTGTTTTTGCTGCGCATGTATGTTTTTCGGCATCTCATTCTTTTAACAGTGAAACTTCACATCTTTGCATATAAATATATCAGACAATACTTGTATCCTAGGCCCTAGCATTCTGTTCTAGAAAAATAGATAGAACCAACTTCACGACATCTATTTGCCAAGCAATAAGATTTGTTGTTATGCAACTTCTTGGGAACTTTCCCATTACTGATTTATCCTTTTTAGCTTCTTTTAACAGTAGATGGTAGTACAGGATTTATTATTCTTACAGCTGACAAGGTGGCACGGCTATGTGGATTTTTGTTTACTCTATCTAAAAAGCTTATTATGATACTAAGAACGATTTTTGATGCGCTATATGAGGCATAGTACGGTTTTTCTAGTTAGCTAGCTTGATTGTTACAAGCAATAAGCAATGTTCCCTGTCCCCTTTTCCCCTTTATTGTCTTGAAATTTGCAATCCTGACATGATATCAGGCATATCACGAAATTTCCGAAATGCAAGGCAAGAGGATGCACATGAGTATATGGTGAACTTACTTGAGTGTATGCATAAATGTTGCCTGCCTTCTGGCATACCAAGTGAATCACCTGGTGCTTATGAGAAAAGTTTTGTTCATAAAATCTTTGGTGGTCGTCTCAGGAGTCAGGTAACTGTTTGCTTCATGGTGGGATTTTGAGAGAGTAAGGTCGTTACCAATTGAGCTAGGAACCCAGAAAAGACATGGGATAGATATAAGATATGACACTGGCATGGGAATATGGCAAATTTTAATAATCATAGGGCACTATACTGATAATTCAACACCTAAGATTAATATAAAATAAATATTTTAAATTATAAGAGTGAACATTATTAAATGAGCACAACTCATATACATAAAAGTATTTGAGATGTTCATGCAATATCTCTGAGAAGACTGCATGACAACTATAATATTGGACTTTTAATTCAATATATGAGTACATTACAAAAATTACATGTTCTTTGGTTGCCTTTTCCAGGTTAAATGTCAGCAGTGTTCTTATTGCTCCAACAAATTTGATCCTTTCTTAGATTTAAGTCTTGAAATATTCAAGGCAGATTCGTTGCAAAAAGCACTTGCAAATTTCACGGCTGCAGAATGGTTGGATGGAGGGGAGAGGGAGTACCATTGTCAACGATGCAAACAGAAAGTTAGGGCTCTCAAACAGCTAACAATTCATAAGGCACCTTATGTGCTAACAATTCATTTAAAGCGGTTCTATGCACATGACCCTGGACAAAAAATTAAAAAGAAGGTTCAATTTGGCTATGCACTGGACTTGAAACCTTTTGTCAGTGGCTCATATGTAAGCAATATATATTTTTGAAATTTATTTAAATTATCTTTCTATATTTTTGTTTTCATTGTTCAAAATGACAAGCTCAGTAGAATCTTTTGCAGTTTGTTGTTTCGAAGTATTTGTTATGCTGTTTGACATTATATGTTATGTGTTTGTGACTTATGGTAATGTTATGCTTCTTACTTCCAAGCTTCTTCCGTTTGGCAGGAGGGTGATTTGAAGTACTCTCTATATGGGGTTCTGGTTCATTCTGGTTCTAGCACTCATTCTGGCCACTATTACTGCTATGTTCGCACTTCAAATAACATGTGGTATACCTTGGACGACAACCGGGTACTGAAAATATGCATTATAGTTTTCTTTTTCTGGTTTTATGTATTTTTTGTAAATCTTTCACTAATTTATCAACAAGTTGGTAAAAAGAAGTTAATGCCTCACCATGTGGGCAATTAAAAAGTAGAATAAATTTTATCATGCAGAATAGCATCTTTTTTAAACTGTATTTATTCTATCCATAATATATGCTTCCTTGAAATTAAAGTTGATGTTATTGTATCGATGTTTGTTTAATGACAAAAATAAAACTGAGCTTTAGCTGGTGATTGGTATAAACTAGAAATTGAAATACCTTAAATTATTGCTTGATGTTTGTTTGTTCTAACTTCTCAGAACTGGATAAATATTGCCGCTTGCAAAAATGTCTGATTAATTATATGCTTATGGAAATGACATGCATAACTTCTGGAATATTGTATTGATGTTTTTGGAGGAATACTATATAAAGCCAGACATGTGTTTTTTTTTTCTTTTGCTGTTTTATTGAAGTCAGTTATTTATCATTCTAATACAATTTGCACTGTTGCAACAGGTAAGTCATGTCAGTGAGCGCGAAGTTTTAAATCAGCAGGCATACATGTTGTTTTATGTTCGTGATAGAAAAAGTATTGTTCCAAAGAAGCCTGTTGACCTTGCTAAGAAAGAGAATATGAAGACTAATGTGAATGGAAATAGAGAATCTTCAACTTCAAACCATGTTTTGAAGGTTTATCCAAATGGCATAGCAGAAAATAAATTATGTAGCGAACCTTTGACTGCTGAAGCTGAGAAGAAAATGTCACATGTTGATTCATCAAGGGATTCTTTTATGAAGGATGCTCTGGTTCCACAAAAACAGGGTGTCACATTAGCAGAAAACTTGATGCAAAGTAAAAAACATGGATCCGAACTTTCTTCCAAGACACAGATACAGGCATACAATGACTCACCTGGTGGACTCTCTCTAGCTAAATCAGAACATGAATGCTTGTCATCATTAGATCACTCTAGAAAAGATCATAGTCTCCCTAGTAATAATCTGAAATGTTTAACTGCACCACTTGGAGAAAAAGTTAATTTGTGTAACAGGAATGTAATTTCAAAAGAGGGCATTAAAGGTTCTCCTTCAATAGTTCCTTCATCAGCTAATCCCCAGACTTGTGAACTTCCTACAGATGGAAAATCTGAGTCTCTGCAGGTAATGCTTCCATTACCCTCTTTGTGCTGAATTTGTAGGGATGTCATTTGGATGTTTTTTAATAATTTATTAATCCAATGGATTGGGAAACGATGGATATATGATGGATCATTAACCATTCATTGATCACAATAACCCACTCCATTTAATCCTTTTATTTTTGTTTCTTCAAATGGATGGATTGGTTTGATTATGAATGTATATTTTGCCATCCCTATGGACTAGGACCATATTAGTTATATTGAATCTTTTCTGAAAACTGTGAATCTTCTCTCTCTTCACTTAGAGAACTGTTGTCGAGAAAGTCGATGTTGCTGCACCTCATGTTTCAAGCACAAATATGGCCAATGGCATTTGCTCTGTAACTTCACCAATTCATCCGAAAGTTAACCCTCAGGTTTCTGTCCTATCCCATGTGCCCATTGTTTTGTGCCTGATTGTGTTTATGTATTGACTTTACTTTTATATGTTTAGCATGGAACTTTTGCAACCAGTTCGGTTTGTGAGAAAACTGGTAGTGTGGTGCATGAAGAATTGGTTGGCTCTCAGGGACCGGTTCCTAACGTGTCAATAAATAGACCTTTGAGCAGAGAGAGGATTAATCAAAAACATGTGAAGAAACCAAAGAAGAAGTTCCTTAAGTATCAAGTAGCCAGCATGCATCTTCGCCCAATCTTCCGTTACATGGTTTATGTTGGCCCACAGAAGAAGGGTAAAAAAAGTAAACGCCACACTTTGGGTTTGAAGAATTCAGACAAACGAAAGCTGGATAAACTTACTTTTTCATCAGACAATGCCAAACTATCTACGCTTGGAAAAACTGATGTAGTTGCTTGTGTACTGAGTTGTTCTGAAAGTAAAGTAACTAAGGCTGGTTATAGACCTGATAGTGCTGAAGGAGAATTTAGGAAGAGAATTGATCATAAATGTGCTGTGCTTGCATCAGCAACGCAAGTAGAAAATATATCTGGGGCTTCAATAGCAAGCCAATTTGAAACTAGACAAGCTAATAGTGTGCAGGATAGTAGAAGAAATCAAATGCATAATGGGTTAATGAGTATGCTGACTCGAGGTCTGGAGGAGACTGTTGGTAAGTTTCTATTGGTATTTTCCCTTCTAGTTGTCTGACACAATACATTTAATTTGTGTTCTACATCCTTGTGGTTTTATTCTTGCTCTAATGCTGTGCAATGTGGACAGCATAATTGTTCGTGTAATGTCTTTGGATTTTTACCATTATAATGTACTTTTTATGATCTGCTTAGTGCTTAAACATTTTAGTGGATCTAAATGCTACTTGAGTTGACTTGACATTATTACATTCCTAGTTTTGTGATACATTTTAATTTGGGATCTCTTAAGATTAGATGATATTGACTTTTGGGTTAATAGTTTGCCTAATTGTGCTGTTTTTGGTGGCTCAATGTTTGACCGGGTGCCTCTACATCCTGTACTGTATTATGTACAAGGAATGTTATGGCTTAGCAGATTTCTCGAATTGACTAAACTAAAATGTATAATATATTTTTTTTTGGCAGCACAGGATAATGAAATATTAGCGATACAGACATTGATTTTCCTCCCGTAGGGAATTCTTGTAACAGTGAGGAATGACCGCCTTCAACCTTGTTCACTTTCAAATTTTACTCTTGATTCACTTTCTATTTTATCAATGAAACCATACTCACTATCATTGTGGATCTGTCATTTCTATGTTTGTCCAATAGGAACGGTAACTACATTAGCAGTGGCAGTGGTGCACTGTGGCAGTGTCCACAATTTATGTTGTGATTGTTACAATGATGATCTGTTCTAAATAATAATAATAATATTAATTAAATATAGGTATTGTGGGATGAAAGTCTCAGTTTGGAGATATTCAAACATGATAACTGCAATTATTGGATATCGACGAATGTTTGAAATACTTCATGTAAACCAAACAAATATTGTGAGTATATGTGTGATCAACATTTAAGAGTACTGGTACTTTACCTGGGTCTAGAATGTGAATCTTTTCTACATACTTAATGTCATCTATATAATCTTCATCTTTGATAAATCTAGCTGCTCCATTTAATCTTGTCTCCCTTTCCCTGCACTTTTGAAATTGTGGCCCCTGTATTCCTGGAATATAACATGTCTATTCTTTATTTGGATACAGTTGCGCGATGGGATGATATTGAATTATCATCGTCTCAGCCTTTGGAATCAAAGAGGGGCAAGGTTGTCAGCATTGGATATGTAGGGGATGAATGGTGAGCTTGGCTATATGTTGTTTCTTTCATCTTTGTTTATTTATAGTAATGCGGGCATTTATTAGTTTGTGCCTTACTTTGTCATGGTTAATTGAAGCATTGGAAGAAACAGTTTTTGCCCAATGTCATACTTGCCTTTGTTGTGTTAAAAATTATCATTTTGCAAAACTGTCTAAGAAAGTGTTTTCTTCTACTAATTTGAATTTGTGTTGATTAATCTGGGTTTTAGATTGTGTTAAAAATGATTGCCTTTAAATAGTATCTTTCCATGTAGATGCTCTTATTGACCTAGTCCTTCAGCTAATAATTGGTGCATTGGTTTAAGCATAAATGAAAAGGAATTGTTGGTATTATGCATGCAATTACCGCTCTTCCTAACGA